CTTAAAAGTGTTTGATGACTAGCATACCCATACACATTTTCTTCTTGAACCACATTCATTCAATCGTCTCTCTTACTATGCTCTTGATGGTCCTACTCAAAAATAAACCATTGTTACAACTTCGTTTCGCCTTCTGAAAATGTAAACCATTTAGAGTTATAGTAATAATACTTATCAGGTCGGTTAATGTGCGAAGTATTGGAATAGTCTTGGAGATATTCCGCAACACCAGTTTTATTGCACATTTTTGTTGCCATTTTTAGTAAACCATTCTTCCTTTCGTGCATATATCAGTGTTTGGTGTACCGATCAAGGTCATGACTGTTCAGCATTTAATGTAATACAAATAATTTTAATGTTAAACGCGGTAGTTTCGTGGTAATTTTAATTGATGGACTACTGAACACAGAAAAACGTCACCTATATTTAGCTAAGATATACAAGTTTACTGTTAAAGACAGTAAGCTGTGTACAAATGTGCTGCCTTTTATGATCTATCTGTAAAAAATCGTAAATATTGAGGAGATTCTAAGATTATAAGCGGTTAATTCATAACATATTCAGAGCCACACTCATATTTATTGGAACAACCTAAACTTCAGGGTAAATAAGATCAGTCAGTAGCAGCATTTCGTTGGCAATCATAAACCTCTTCTATATCCGTCAGAGGTAATTGGAGTACGAGTAATATGAGTGAAGAGACTTGAAGACAAAAAATTCATCTTCGAAATTTTAGTAAAATTATTTGTCCCTTGTAGAAAATGTCTTCTTTTACTAAAAATCTGTCATATAACAAAGTCTCTTTCAAATTGTTAAGTATTTTTAGCAATGGAACTGTTAAATTTATTATGAAGAATACACATTTTATATCATGAAATTTTTATATTTACATATCACTGATGCTGCTATTTTTATTTTAATGACTTTTCTACTGCTAGATTCCATCTACTCTGATAGTATAAAGTAAGATTACAATCGCACAGACAACTACTGAAAATCAGAGCGTTATGGGAGATCGTTTCCCTTGTTAGAAAGTACCTACCATAGAGGGCTTTTTACTAATAAGTTTAAATCTTAAAAAAAAGTGCATGTGTATTACCAGAATTTTGTGATATATTATGCTTTAAGAGTTTGATATGTAACTTAATTATTTAAATAAGTTAATCATTATAGTAATAGAAGCCTGTGATTTCCTAGTACATCTTCTGTTGTTTGTGATTGAAGACCTAAAAATAAAGAATTAACGGCTTGTAGAGTGAGTAAATATAAGTTAAAAGTGATGAAAGATTTGGCATTGGTAACTAATACGACGGGATAAGAAAATGACATTATTTAGGTCAATATTTTTCGTATCAATTCATTATGAATTTCATTCAAGGTGACATGTGCGAACTTCCTTCAGTGTGACATTTTAAGGTCAACACTTTCTTATGTCAATTTAGTACAAAGTTTGTTCTTTATAACAAGTGTGAACTATATTCAGCACTTTCTACAATAACCCTACATATCCCCCCTATATGTTTTATCATAAAGTGTGAGTGAAATTTGGTAAATAAACTGTCTAAGGATGATGTGATTTTGGATGCAGTTTTGTTGTGATTCTGAATGTGATTTGAGACTTATTTGTAGTCAAGTTTTGGAGTCAATAAACTTCTACTACACCAGTCCTTCGTGTTCACTATTGGCATCGTGAGAATTTTAATGGTCCCCATTTTCCAGTATAAGCGGTTGGATCGAGGAATTGCAGTTATTCCTGACTGTCAAGTAAAAACAGTAAGACTATGGACTCAGAAGATCTGATGCTTACATAACAATGACGACTCCCCATGTATAGCAGTTGGCTACTGAGTTACAACGATGGTGACGGGGCAGAAATTTTCTAGTTATAACAGGAGGAACTCTTAATAAATTCGAGAAGAATACTTTAAATGAATCAGACTCTAATGGAAAGTTTGATAACGTCATATCATTAACACAACTGCGATAACTGAACAGCAAAATCAGACTCCAACTGTGACCACTAATAAATCATATTAAACACTTAACTTCACTGTTACAAGCAACATTTTAATTAATTCATATACATACAAATTGACTGTCTCATTTTTTTAATGTTTTATTATTTTAAGGACAATTCAGTTTATTGGATTTCATTTAGTCTACTTAGTTAACTTTCTCGCATTATTGACATAGAAATGAATCTTTGTTGAACTCCTGATCAAAATCATGAATTATTGGAGCGATAGAAACCAGACTAAATATAAATGACATATCATTTATTTCATGCAAATTCAACCTATGATTATAATTGTTACGGTTGCTGGTATTAGAATAATTATCTTGGTGATAATAGCTTTCTAATTTTGAATAAATATGAATATATAGTGCTATATAATTCTAATTAATTATTTGCATATCGTCAGGACTGCATGAAGATGAGAAACTGTCTTAATGTGAAGGTCATTCAGTCTCTGGCGGATTTAGTCGCGCGAAATTGGTTTTTATGATAAATTTACAACACTATGATGGATACTTAAAGTAGAAAATCACTTTTAGACAATTGTTACCCGACATTAGGACATAAAATCCTACATCTGTGAATCGTTTATGAACTGCATCTTGAACTAAGCAGTTGTGGTACAAACACAAGCATATATTTTACTATTGAAGACAGCCTGAAGAAGATATGATAGACCCATCCTTAAATTTGCAGCTGGAGACCCTATACGCTTCATTTGTAATGAAACTCATAGTTGTGATACTAAAAAGCTCTAATTACATAAGTGAATGGTCGGTTAACAATAAATCATAAACCCAGGTTATTAACAAACGATAATTTTGAAGTGTGCATGGATGACTCCTGCTGATGGGATTAAAGTTGTCTCTATAGTATTTGGGTTTTAATAAAAAACCCATGCACGTTGTAAATTCACGCAAAGCATGGACTGTGAGATAATTTCAAACACCTTAGTTTTGCAGAAATATTGGTTTGGACGCTATTAGACAGTGAAAAACAGAGCAATAATTAGACATAATGTTTGAATGAGAAACACGGTTCATCCTGATTACTGACTCGTGAGAATTCCTCAGACCGATCCAGTCTTGGTATCTTGTTTTTCCCATCTTGTTTAACAGGCAAGCTTAAAAAGTTTACTTAGTGACCTTGAGTTTAACGTCATGGGCAGATTCAAATTGGTCGAAGTATTTTTAGAAGCATGGCATATCACAAATAACAAGACACTGCAAAGCCACGTGCAAAAGTTGTTCCGTCATAAGATAGTTTAATTCAGGTCAAGGCCATTTTGAACCAATCATATCGAAATTCGGATGCGTGTCTGGGTTAAGCAATCAATTAGAATAAGGTTATATCGTAAATGTGGTGAGAATTCAAAATCTTTCAAGATTTCGATTGGTGGGTTTCATGTATTTTATAAGTGACATTTTATATCCAGTGGCTTTGCCAGCTATCCATGTCACATGACTGGTTATCGATTTTGAATCTTAACATTTCTTGTTCAATGAATTTGGCCTCTGTATAGGTGGTTTAAGTAAAATTTAATGGTAGAACAAAAAAGAACATGAGACGTTTGATTTGATGAACAGTAATTATTCTACGATTACGGTCTTGGGAATACTCATTGTCAAGGCTTTTCTAGGGCTCCACCCTACTTTATATCTCAAATAATTTGTACCCGCGATAAAAATAATAGCTGGAATGCTTCTTGGGATTTGCATATTATATTCAGTTTCTCTTCAGTGGAATATTTTATTTCTGATCAGTATGATCAGTTCAAGATAGTTGGATTTCTGAGATTTTTTTTAAGTAGACTAAATCATAGTTTGAGGTTTATCTTACGCCTATTTTAGAATCGAGATAAAGTTCCACCAACTTCACTCTAAGGATTTAAAATTCATCAGCAACGGAATATAAGTAGCTGTATTGACTGGTTTCAGTACTAATTTATTCACTTCGTAGTGCATTGTCGATAGTATCCAACTAAGTTTTGTGCGCTTTGTTGTAAACTTACAATTTATTTACCATTATACGCGACCTTTAGAAAGTGAGAATGTGGATATGAGTTTCTTTCAAATGTTATTTCTAAGGGTTTGTTTAATACGTGGATCGTTTTCGTCAACAATCTATATTTTTCAATTCAGAATGTTGAGTAACTTTTTCAAAGTCCAGAAATCTTCATAGGTTTGTTTTCTAACATTAAACATTATTCATCCTAAGTATATGAACGAAGTCCCAGAAAATATATATCACTGAGGTATATAAGACAGCGCAGAATAACTGTTCATTACTTTCCTTTCTCAACTGGGATCTCTTTATTATCGAAAATCAGATCCAAATAACTTATTGTTTACTAATTCTCCAAATTGCTATTTATTTACACATACGCTCTTCATTACTATTGCAAATTAACTTAAACCGTGTCGAATTCATACGAATTAGTTTTTCTACGTTTATGATATAGATGAAAAGAAATGTTTGACTGCTGTTTGTTATGAATTATGACATTTTAAAATACTAATTACAACTTACTATTTCTGATCGAAATTATATTTTTCCAAAATGAATAGAAAACTGGATAGTAAGGAATATCGACTCACCTAATTGGATTATTTGCTAACGCTAATTTATTAGGAGCCTACAATCTATCCCTCCTTATAGAAAACTATAACTTAAGTGATAATACCGTAGTGTTCGAAATATTTGTTTCTTTGGCTGCATTAGCATACTTGTAAAATGTGTTAAGGGTAGTCTACAATACTTTTTCGGGAATATATATCTTTCGGTGAAGAAGGTTGTAGGGATAGAAATAATTGAAAATCCTTTGAAATTAAAGATAAAAATTAATTAATCGCAAATTTCGATTTCTTTTGCCACGAACTTTTCATAATTATGAATAAATTTTACATCGTAGAGGCATTTGTTGCAGTATGTTATAGTTTGTCTATAGAATTTCCCATTGTAACCAGGTAACTATGTTATTACTACCATTTCCCTGTCTGACATCTAAGTATTCAAATAAACCTTAAAACGAAAAGTAATTTAGTAAAAAGTTACCAAGAAAAAAATAGATTCGGATTATATTTCATTAAAAATAAAAATTTATGGGAAAATATTTGTTAAAGTATATACCATGGACTAAATATTAATCCTGAAGGTTATGCTGTTGTAGTTGTGATGAAGTTTGTAATTAACAAAATCAGATGATCATGACTTTTATCTTTGAATATATATTACGAATAATTTCTGTTGTTCAGTCAACTATTCCAGGAAATTAATAATGAACTATAAAGCTAAACACAGATTGGTATACTGGATTACTTCAAACAACTGTTGGATCATAGCGAACGTCTCTTAATTAATACAGATAAACCATTCGGTGGTATTGTGAGCTTAAACAATATAGAGATGTATGCCAAATTGGACGAAATGTATGCATACACTGATGAGATACTGTATATGTGTGACAACAGTTATCTAGTATCTTTGGTCCAGCTTCTAATAATTCTTCAACTAAGTTTAATTCACTATACATCTTTTAACTAGTTTGTCGATACATTACACTGATGGATACATATATAATGATGGTAAGAAACTAGTTCCATTATTTATCTATCCAATTTTTCCAACTTAGCCATACACGTGGACCAAATATATCACTGTTGTATTCTTCATTAGAACGATCATTAGAATAGTTTGGTCTCTGTGAATGATTTACATGACGATATAATCCATCCAATAAATTTAGATAATTTCTTAAAATTATTTTATTTCTTGATTTAGAATTTGGATAAATCATAAAAGAGTTTAAATGTTTCGGCTGTTCATTAATATGAGTATTATGAATGAAAAGATTTGATTTTCCATCAACTGATGAATTTACAGAATAATATGGATGAAACTGTTTATCAACTTCAATGTTGCATGAATTTAAAGAATTGGGTTGTATATGAGTAAATGTGTTTTTTTGAAAGGGTTTCACACGTTTGATTTGATCTTGTGATTCTGCCTTAATTTCTGATGATAAACTTAAATCACGTGAATCAGAATACCTGAACTGTAGTTGTTGTACATTAGTAGCTTTAGTGGAAGAACACGGTGAAGAGTATCTTGGTACATAATTCTTTGATTCATCGACTAAATTGTTTGAATGAGTATAATCCATATGATTTCCTATAAAAGTAGTAAATATATCAAGAAAATAATGGATTAGGTCTATAACTTCTCAACCAAAGAATAAAGTAATGATCTGCTCAGTCCAACCATGTGTCTTCTGTAAAGTTTTTTCATCTCACATCTCTGAATAGAATTTCGTACATTCTAGAAAAACTCACAAGGATAAAAAGTTTGACCATGAAAAGAACAGACTCATAGAGTTAGCTAAAATTGTTTACTTCATACATTTCACATACAATCAACGGTAATCAGATCGACCTATCTTATGCACAATAACAAATTTTTCTTGAGTCGGAATGACATTAATAAAGCATCAAGAAAAAATCTAATTATCATTTTTTGCAGATTACGTCATTCTTAGTATTTCTCCAAGTGAAACGACACTAAAAGTTAGACGTGTCAAATCATAATTAGCTGACTCACTGGTCTAATGATCGTCATGATAATTTTGAGCTCAGTCTCACGTAAAGTTTTGGGTTCACACAGCTTTAATGTTCCAAACTATGAGAAAATTAGTGTTCATAAGATGAAGGAGAAAATGAATATATAAATTGTCTAACGTTGTTAATAAACAACATAGTTGATGACCATCTTCAAATAAACGCAGAAGTTCATTTGAATTCTTTATATTCTATACATCAATATAAATTTTTAAAGATAACAAACGTTTATCGAAAAACGAGAGTAAAACAGGGTTCAGGATTGATCTCAATTTTAAGTTAATTTTCACTCAAGCATGGTATAAATGATGCCAGTCAGTCAAAGTTCAAGTGGATTGCCTATTTGTTCCTTAATAATTTGGTGAGACAGAGTTTTACAGAATTAGATCTGAGTCTAATTATCGTACGTAAGTAAAATACACTTCATTGTAATCATTTACATAGGTTTTACATTGGTAGTCTGACAGGCTGTATCGACAGATTGTTGAATCAGTATGTTGGTTAGTAGAGATGAAAATTCATTTGATATCATAGTTTATTCAACAAAATTATCTTATTTCATTCTTTCAGAGAACAGAACACTTATACTGTTATGCTGACCAATTAATGTATTTGTGATATCGTGAGTTAATCATAGAGAAAAACATTTTGAATAGAACTATGGTTCTATGTATTTGAGGTTGACCATACATGCTGGGTAAACAAAATACGTAGACTATAAATTTAAGATAATTCTGATTTTTGATCAGCTATCTTTTAAGATATGTTATTCGTTTCCTAACCATTTATTTCTCTGTTGTTTCCAGTATATATTTTTTTCAGTGAATTTAGACTAAGCAAATGAGAGTACATGATGTTGATTAATAATATCAACAATTTATGTTTGAAGCCACTCTCTCTGTCTTTTAAAACTAACTGATGGTAGGTAATTCAAACCTGGGTTCTACGTTATTAACAGTCAATCGCTTCCATAGTAAAAGGATATAAGACAAGTAATTGTAATGGGTTGTTTACTTTAAGATTTCGTTACAAGTCTGTATACAGTTTATTCCATCAAGAATTTAAAATATTATTTTTATTTAGCTTGTTTTGAATTTCTCATTTAGGATATAATTGCTAAACTTTACTCAAACATACAGTACTTTGACACATTACTCATGTCGTAACTCTATAGTTAGAATAGTTGTATTCTACCTCTGTCACATTTTCTAACAATAAAACACGTTTTTAGTGTAAAGCAGAACATATTAACCTCGAAAGTTAATATCAATCCTGACTATACTTAGTTTCGGTTAACATATTCTGTCAATTTGTTAGGCTATTAATATTATTACTTCTTACTTACTTACTTACGCCTGTTACCCCTCGTCGAGGAGCATAGGCCGCTCACCAGCATTCTCCATTCAACTCTGTCCTGAGCCTTCCTTTCGAGTTCTTTCCAGTTACTATTCATCCTTTTCATATCTGCTTCTGTTTCCCGGCGTAGCGTGTTCTTTGGCCTTCCTCTTTTCCGCTTCCCCTCCGGATTCCAAGTTAGGGATTGAGTCGTGATGCACATTGGTGATTTCCTTAATGTATGTCCGATCCACTTCCAACGTCTTTTCCTAATTTCCTCTTCAGCTGGAAGCTGGTTTGTCCTCTCCCATAGAACGCTGTTGCTGATAGTATCCGACCAATGAATGTTGAGTATTTTGCGTAGACAATTGTTTATAAATACTTGTACCTTCCTGATGATGGTCGTAGTAGTTCTCCACGTTTCAGCTCCATACAGTAGGACTGTCTTGACGTTCGTATTGAAGATTCTGACCTTGAAATTGGTTGAGAGTTGTTTTGAGTTCCATATGTTCTTCAATTGTAGAAATGCTGCCCTTGCTTTGCCAATCCTCGCCTTTACATCTGCATCCGATCCTCCTTGTTTATCAACGATGCTCCCCAGGTACTTGAATGTTTCCACCTCTTCCAGAGTTTCGCCGTCAAGTGTGATTGGGTTGGTGTTCTCCGTGTTGCATTTGCGAATCTTGCTTTTTCCTTTGTGAATGTGGAGACCTATCGATGCAGAGGCTGCTGCTACATTTGCTGTCTTCATCTGCATTTGGTCGTGTGTATGAGAGAGGAGGGCTAGGTCATCTGCGAAGTCCAAATCATCTAATTGATTCTGAGAAGTCCATTGTATTCCGTATTTCCCTTCAGATGTCGAATTCTTCATAATCCAGTCAATCACTAGAAGGAAGAGGAATGGGGAGAGTAGACAGCCTTGTCTGACTCCGGTCCTTACTGGAAATGCATCTGACAGCTGTCCTCCATGCACCACTTTGCACTGTAGTCCATCGTATGAGTTTTAGATAATGTTGACAATCTTTTCAGGAACTCCATAGTGTCGAAGAAGTTTCCATAATGTTCTCCTGTCCACGCTGTCAAACGCCTTCTCATAGTCAATAAAGTTGACGTATAGTGATGAGTTCCACTCAACTGATTGTTCAACGATGATCCGTAGTGTCGCAATCTGGTCTGTGCACGACCGATCCTTACGGAATCCAGCCTGATGATCCCTTAGTTCGGCGTCTACTGCGTCTTTCATCCGATTCAGCAGCACTCTGTTGAAAACTTTTCCTGGTACTGATAACAAACTGATACCTCTGTAGTTCTCACATTTGCTCAGATCTCCTTTCTTTGGTATCTTGATGAGATATCCTTCTTTCCAGTCCGTTGGCACTTGTTCCTCTTCCCAAATCTTTTTGAATAGAAGGTGAAGCATGTTTGCAGTTATTTCAATGTCTGACTTCAGTGCTTCTGCTGGTATATTGTCAGGTCCCGCCGCCTTCCCACTTTTGATTTGTCTGGTGGCCATCTTGACTTCTTCGATCGTTGGTGGAGTGACATCTATTGGAAGGTCTGTGTGGGCTGCTTCGATGTTCGGTGGATTCAATGGGGCTGGTCTATTCAGCAGTTCCTCGAAATATTCTGCCCATCTTTTCCTCTGTTTTTGAATCTCAGTGATTGTCTTTCCTTCTTTGTCCTTGACTGGTCTCTCTGGTTTGCTATATCTCCCTGCCAATTTCTTCGTTGTATCATATAGTTGTTTCATATTCCCTTCTCTTGCAGCTTTTTCCGCCGTCGTTGCTAGTTCTCCCATGTATTTCTGCTTGTCGGCTTTAATGCTTTTCTTCACTTCCCTGTTTGCTTCTGCGTAGTCTGCTTGTGCTTTGACTTTCTCTGCTCGTGTTCGGCTGTTGTTAATTGCTAGTTTCTTGTTCTTCCTTTCTTGAATCTTATTGAGAGTTCCCAGAGAGATCCATTCCTTGTGATGATGCTTCTTAGGACCAAGAACCTCTTGACACGTTGAAGTTAGTGCTTCTTTTATCCCTTTCCAGTTGTCCTCCAAAGTAGTTTCTTGTTCTTTCAGTAGATCCTGTAGAGCTTGGAACCTATTGTTGAGAGTTATCTTGAATTCTTGGAGCTTGTCAGCATCTCGAAGGAAGGCTGTATTAAACCTTTGTAGTGCTGTTTGTCCAGTTGTCCAGTCTTTCTTAAGCTTCAGTCTCATCTTGGCCACAACCAGGTGGTGATCTGAAGCTATGTCAGCTCCTCTCCGGGTTCTTACATCTTCCATTGATCTTTGGAATTTTTTGTTGATACAGATGTGATCTATCTGGTTCTCTGTGGTATGGTCCGGTGAGATCCATGTAGCTTTGTGTATGCGCTTGTGTGGGAATATTGTGCCGCCTATAACCAATTTGTTGAAAGCACATAGGTTTGCAAGTCTCTCCCCATTTTCATTTCTTTCTCCTAGTCCGTGTCGTCCGATTATATCTTCATATCCTGTGTTGTCCACTCCAACTTTAGCATTTAGATCTCCCATCAGGATGGTGAGGTCCTTACTTGAGCGTTTTGCTACAATTGATTGCAGCCTTTCATAGAACTGATCTTAATCATCGTCGTTGCTATCATTGGTGGGTGCATAACATTGGATAACGTTCATTGTGATCCCTTGCTTCTTTGTTCTGAATGATGCTTTGATTATCCTGGGTCCATGAGATTCCCATCCCACAAGTGCATTTTGTGTTTCTATGGACAGCATTAGAGCAACTCCCTGAGTGTGTGGATCGTTTTCCCCTTCGTGACCGGAGTACAGCAGCATCTCTCCTGTACCTAGCCTTTGTTGTCCAGTTTGTGTCCAATGGGTTTCGCTGATTCCGAGTACTGCCAAGTTGTATCTCCGCATTTCCATTGCTATTTGGCTGGTCTTTCCTGTCTCGCACATTGTCCGGACGTTCCATGTACCTATAAAGAGTGTTGCCCTGGTTGTTAGAAGGTGCATCGGTCTCGTGACTTCCGAAGAATTTCGGCTTTCATCATGAGACGTCATTATTCCTTCAACTCCCAGAGCAGAGTTTAAATGGTTTGAATTATTTTTTCTGGTTAGCGTTTTTTTAGCGAGTTAGCTTTTCTACGGGATGGGGTCGCTAACCCCATGCCCAACCCTCCTCCTTTACCCGGGCTTGGGACCGGCAGTAACTCTAGAAGAGCTACAGGCGGAGTAGGCTATTAATATGTTGGCATTTAAATTGGCTTAACGAAGTGTGGGATAAATTTGAATATATCTATTGATTCATTTACTTGGTTTAATTAGGATGCAATCATTGTACGTGGAATGTAATTATACAACAATAGCTGACTTCAAACTTTATTATTATTATTATTAATACTTCCGTATTCATGTGAGAGTTAGAACAGACTGCCGAGTAGAATTGATCACTTCAGTAGTTAGTTTTCAAATATATCTTTCTTTTCGAACTAAAAATCCTTCCGCCTAACTTCATAAATGGTTAATGATCGATAGCTGATAAAATATCATAACATGTAAACGATAGAATCTGTTTCCTGTTGTGTCTGTCAACATATTCTATATCATTTGGTGTAATCAAGAGTATTAATTATCTGAACCCCGCATCTTTGATGGTCTTTGATAGTAAATTATGAAATATCTAAGGTAATTAGAACTTTTCATTATCAATCTGTGTACAGTTATTCTGTTTCACTGAAATATTTCCATAACTAGATGTGATTGGTAAGCTATTACTAGCTAATACATTAATGTTTACGAATGTTTGTATGCTGATGTGAACTGTTAAATCAACGTACCAATGATGATATAACTGTATTCTAAATTTCAATTCATATAGATGTGTAGATCTTATAGCTCTAAATTAAAAACGAGGCAACCCTTGCTATATTAAACATATCTGTCTTCATGATGATGTATCTGAAATTTTCGAACCTTCTAGCAAAATTGCTGTAAGTAGTTGCCAATTATAAAAACATAACCTTTGGTACAAATATGCATTATACAGCTTAAAACATTTAATGGTAGGATAATATGAACAGAAAATTAATCAAATATAGAAACATAATAGTAGTATCAATACGCAGTATTGTATATTAAACGAAAACATATTTGGATCAGAAACAAACCGAGTAAAGTAGTAGTAGGATAGAGTGTTTAGAAACTTTGTGCACCTTCGTAGATCTGTTCAGATGAACATGTTGATTAAGAATTATAATTGAGATCTTAAGTAAAGAATATATCACTATTTGGTTTTTAATTGTATAGACTGGAAAATGTAAAGAAAAATCACGTGTAACTGTTCCACGTTTGAGTGTGAATTGTAAGTATATTTGTAGAGACCTATAATAAACGGAATATTCTGTCAAAACATTTTATCATTTTCGATACTATAAGTCCTTGTTTGATGGGGTGTTTGAGTGTTAGTCATCTTATCACTGAATAGAGGGTGGGTTGGAAATGGGGTTTAACAGATTAATTAAAGTTACTTATTATGATAAAAGAACCATACAATATGTATTATCGTTTTACTTTATTATTTTCTAGATTTATCACTAATCAGATAAAGTCCTTAATATCATGATCTCTTGATAGTGAATCACTCTATTTTGAAACATTCAAGAATTCTTATCATGATTTTTTTCTATTCCTTATTTACACGCAACTGAAATTACAGAAAGTCAGCTGATTAACTGAAATGCTTACTTTGATACTCGTAATCCGTGGGATATGATGAACTGGGTCGACAAATTCCACATTCAATAAAAGTTATTGATTTGTTATCATCACACTTCACTGGATTCTTGTGTAGAGATATGTTTTGTTTATTGATGTTATTATTATCATCACTGCGTTTTTGTGACGAGGCTACTGTGTTTATTGTTGTTGTTGTTGTTGTTGTTGTTACTGATGTCGTCTCTACTAAGTCTCCTGATACAGTTGTTACTGACAATTTCATTGATGGTATTGATGATGATTCACTTGAACATTCCATATTTCTTTCGTTACCTGAATGATTGTACTCCACATCAGTGGTAGTTTGATAAGTAGTATAGCATAATTTATCTAGATTTCTTTTACACTTTATTGGAATATTTTTACCATGATTATTCTTAGAATTATTATAATCCTGGTCGTTAGTATAAAAACCATCTGTGGGTGTAAAATATGAATGTTTGGTTAAATTATTCCTTGAATAATCGTAATTTAGCAGTTGTCGGTGTCTTTGAGCAAATTGTTGATGTTTTCTATAAAGTTTATTCATTGATAATGGTATATTATTCACTACAGGATGCATATATGATTGACCCAATATAATTGGTATTGATGAATTTGGTAATGCACGATGTCTTAAACAACTGTGTAATAACGCACCAAAACTCGCTATGCCTAGAATACAACCAGCTGTTAAACAAGTACGATAATTTAAAAAAATACCTAGTAAAGAGAGTATTATAGATAAAACTATTGAAATACCTAATAAGATCAATATTAGATTATGTATAATACGTTGTAATTTTTGTGAATTACAACAACTGTTCAAATAATGGACAACACTTTTATCAGGATTACCAATACTATGTTCACTACAACAGAGGCAACAGAGTAAATGTGAATTTTGAAATTCTGCTGAATAATTTGAATTACTACTCATAAAAGTGTTAGTAAGTGGTTTCTGGCAATAAAAATCAGAGGTTTTAGAATTTTTATCATAATTTTTTGATGTTGAACACAATTTCATTAATTCATAATAGTAATGATCAACATTATCCAATTGTATTGGTAAAGAAGAATTGAGCAAATTTTGTTTAGAATTTTTATCAAAAGAAAGATGCTTGTTCCTTCGGCATTCATACATATCTCTTCTATTTTTTTGGAGTGAGCTGTTTGTATACATATTTATTTATCTATAAAATATAAGGTTAAAAAAAACATTAGAAGATTTTTTCCACTTAGAATAAGGATGAAAAAGTTTCAGGTATGGTAAACCAGCTACTATATAGTAACAGCTGTCAATGTAACTAGGATGATATTGCTAAATTTTGCCATGAAGTGTAGTTTGTAATCACAATTGATTGATCACTGGGTGGTGATCAATGTCATGCGTGTCAAGTCCTTCTTTTGTGCTGATCGAATGCTATCGATCAATTTGCAATGTGGCCACCAGTCTAGGTGGCTCGACACTGCTTGCACTATATATATATTGAGGTAAGATGGTGGTTGGAGGTGGTCAACAGCCACTTAGACTGGTGGCCACATTGCAACTTGATCGATAGCATTCGATCAGCACTAAAGAAAGACTTGACACGAATGACATTGATCACCACCCAGTGATCAATCAATTGTGATTACGTCTCAGTCCTACAGGACGTTGGTCGCGGCCTGAATAGCTCAGTGGTAACGTCTCTGACTGTGAAGCTGAGTGACACGGGATCGAATCCGCCAGGGAGCATCAGTTCCCTGAGGATTACAGGTACACCTTTCTGACGAGTGCCAAGTAGTACGAAACCCGGGTCCAGGGTTTCCAGTTGACCACCTCCAACCACCATCTTACCTCAAAGTAGTTTGTAGTTTAAGTAAATCGAGGGAGTCAATTATAATGACGTTTATGAGTTGATGTAGTACATAAATTTGAGGACGAATAAACTGACTTTTAAAAACGTCTATTTATGAGACATCCTATAGTTATGATTTGGTTTAATAAGAGGGAATTTTATGAAGTCGAGAATTTCAATTTATAACATTAAAAAGAGTCTACTGATTCCTTAACATTTCGCAAATGTAAAAAGACCTAATATGGCTAAGCGTTGAAGAAAGTATGATATATTGAAAATCACCTCACAACAAAAGGTTATTTGTTTTCGATTCCGTGCAACTATGTAAAATCTTAACAAACTTTGGGATAGAGATATGTCTAGATGACGAGTCTCAAATATGCCGAAACTTTCGACGTCGGTTTTGTTACTAATCACAATTTAGATGTATTGAAAGCTTATCGCAGAAATTGAAAGGTCTAGGTTTTCGCTGAAGTTGCATATAACCTTTGAGAGTATTTCATATATGAAAAATGAAGGGGATACTTAAAAGAGTGAAACCAGACATCACGTACCGCTCACAATTATTATGACTTTAGGACGTTAGTCACTACTGGATACCATGGCAACTAATACATATTACTAAACACATCGGTATTTAGTGGTCCTATGTCTGAATCCAATTCGATCGTTTCTGTTTGTTATCGAAATATATATATCGCCAATCCTCGTATGTAATCATCGACTTAAATCGTGTTGATGAATAAAGGAAATAAATAAGATAAATACGAGTAAGAATTTTCGAATACGCATATTTCGTACAACCTTTGGTCGGAAAGCGAAGCTAAACAAAATGACATGCAATGGAGAAGGTGAGTAAGCCAACTCAATTTAGCCAAGCAAAAATTGTTATTTGTAGCCGAACAAAAATAAGTTACAAACACATAATGAGTAAGGTAGGTTAATGGGCACACATATGCGATCATGTGAATAACAGTTAGGATTAATGAGAGAATGACTGACGTGTCAAATGTGACTTAAGTAGGATGGATAAATTGATCTGTCCAGAGGCTAGAACAACCTATGTGGGCTTGACATAGTACCAGCCCTTACAGGTAAACTGTAAATGACTCGTACATCTTGAACTCAACATATTTCACCAAATGACTCTTTAAGTTTAATTTTAACCTGCAGAAGATAAGATGTACAAAGAGAGGTTAAGACTTTGATAACTATTTATCGGGTTGATGATATTCAATGTAGTGTTTTCTATTCATCTTCGAAATAGTTGGTGTAGCGAACGTGGAAACTATACTCTTGTTTTTTCATGAGTCATATGAAATTTGGCTAGTTGGACATAGGTAGCTGATGTATAAATACAACTAGATTAAAATGTTTTATTGTATATATTCTTTGTACCCCATTACATGGTAGATTTGCTGTCCATATAAAAATATGTAAGCGAACACTCGGACATCATATAAATACATGGATTTATTGAAATATGCATAAGAGTTTTCTGTAACTGACTGCACAATGAATCATTGATGTATCAAAGTTAATTTTTAAAGAACTTATTTTTATCGAATTGATCGTTTCCCGATTATTAGTACCCCGATATGGTTTGTCCGCTGTTAAAATTTCACAACTGTAAAAGTTTATACTACTTATAAATAGCTTGTTTTTCTTTGGTAGAAAACTAACTTAACAGTGTGTTATATTTAATTTTGAGCCAATAAGAATTTTATACTTGAAGATAATTTTCGTCAGTTCCTTAAGTCAACTGATAAACCATCAAGAAACTTAAAGACTACTGAGCTAATGTAGATTTGTTCAAATTCTCAACTTTAGTAAATCCAAAATATCACCATTTAAGAGGCATTCTTGTCGAGATTAATAGCTTTACATAGCTAATTGATTGGGGTTGGAAGTATGAACAATCTGATTTCATTATCATCAGCATTTAGCTTGTTTTTTGGAATTTGGGATTGAGATACTTATCCATATATGATATTAGATAAATATCGCTAAAATCCTTACACTTCCTAATCGAATTTCGTATTATCGAGATTTATCAGATGGTGAAGTGAAGCGAAGGCGAGGTTTATAATTTCGCTTCAAGGAACCAATATAATGTAAGGAATGTCTGTATACAATACTTACCTCAGTCAAGTACGATTTTCGAAGAAAATCTATCCATTGGTTGCGTTTATTTGATCATTTATCTCTTTTGAAACAGCACTTGATTTGGATGAAGTAAAAGAGTGAGATGGCCTGATTTTCCAAAATTAAATCGGCTATTGAATGTTAAGTGTTTAAATTCCTGAGTCAAAACCCTACAAAACAATAGTTAAAGATTCATTTCTAAATGACGCATCACTCGTAAAAGCTCGAAATTACTTTAACTATAACCTCACTGGAGGTTACTACAAGTTGAGATATCAAAAATGATCGACCTCAATTTAGTGTTAGACTTGATTATAGATCGAGTCGTATTATGATCTGTAGGGGGTTGAATAATCAGTTACAAAAAAAATTATCTGATTGTGTAGATTTATGAGAAACATTTAAATTCTGCTCACAACAGTAAAATTGTATCACTCATTAGTTAATTATTTTATTATGTGGGTATCCCTTTAATGCCATGGTTGTATGTCATCCTGATAAGCACAAATCCGTTAAAGAATATATATATATATATATATATATATATATATATATATAATCCAGTCGACCACCAGAAGAAAAGAAAGGGAGAGAGTAAGCAGCATTGCTTGACTCCAGTCCTCACCTGGAATTTGGTGTATAGTGATGAGTTCCATTCAGATGATTGTTTAACAATGATACGTAGTATTGAGATTTAGTCTGTGCATGATCGATCTCTACGGAATCCAGTCTGATGATCTCAAAGTTGGGCGACTAGTGAATCTTTTATTCGGCTGAACAACAGTCTGTTGAAAATGCTTCTTGTTAATGACAGTAGTGTAGTGCCTCTGTAGTTCTCACACCTGCTGAAATCTCCTTTCTTTGGTGTCTTGATGAGGTATCCTCCTTTCTAGTTTCTTGGAACTTATTCTTATCAAATCTTTCTGGATGGAATATGGAACATCTTTGCAGTTATTTCTATGTCTGACTACAGTGCTCCAGGTGGTACGTATTCTGGTCCTGCTGCTTCCCCTACTTTTGAATCGTTTGGTGACCATGCCGATTTCTTCGATTGTTAGTGGAGTGACATCTATGAGAAGGTATGGGTGTGTTGCTTTGATATCTAGTAGGTTCAGAAGGGCTGGTCTATTGAAGAGTTCTTCAAAGTATCCTACTCATATGTTCAGCTGTTCTTGAGTCTCAGCGATTAACCTGGCTTGTTTGTTCTTAACTGATTACTAAATTTTACTATATTTCCCTGTTAGTTTCTTCGTTGTATGCTCACTCTCACTCTACTGTTTACTTCTGCATATTCTGCTTGTATCTTGGATTTTTCTGACCTTTTTTCGACTGTTTTTAATTTCCATTTTCTTGTTCTTCCTTTCTTGAGTCCTACCCAGAGCATCAACAGAGATCTATTCCTTCGAACGGTGTTTATTGGAGCCTGTACCTCCTGGAATTTTGAAATAATTGGTCCTTAAGTCCTTTTCCAGTTGTTGTCTTTGCTAATTTCCTCTTCTTTAAGTAGATATTGTAAGCTTTGGAAATTTGTGCTGAGAGATATCTTGAATTTGTTGAGTTGGTCAGCATCTCCAAGGAAGGCTGTATTAGACATTTGTAATGTTATTTGTCCAGTGGTCCAGTGCATCCTTAGCTTTAGCTTCATCTGAAGCTATATCAGATCCTCTCTTTGTTCTCAGGTCTTTCATTGACCTGAATTTTTTAGTGATGTAGATACGACTGATTTGGTTCTCTAATGTGTTGCAGTGAGACCCATGTAGCTTTGTTCATGAATTTGTGGAGTAATATAGTGCCACTCGCAGCCATTTTGTTGAATACACATAAATTTGCAAATCTGTCACAATCTTCGTTCCTTTCTTCTAGTCCATGTCGTCCTATGATACCTTCATATCTGGTGTTGTCCATTCCGACTTTGGCGTTTAGGTCTCCTAACAAGATTGTAAGGTACTTTCCTCGAAACTTCTCTACGATCGACTGCAGGATCCCATAAAGTTGATCTTTATCGTCTCCACTGCTATCACTGGTAGGTGCATAGCAATGGATGGCATACATTATGATCCTCTTCTTCTTTATTTTGAAGGATGCTTTGAAGATTCTAGGTTCATGAGATAACCATCCTATCAGTGTTTTTTCGTACTTCCTTAAACAGCATCAGTGCAACTCCTTGTGTGAGAAGCATTTTGTTCTTCAAGACCAGAATACAACAGCATCGCTCCCGAAGCTAATCTTTTCCGTCCTAATCGGCTGCAATTGGTTTAACTTGTTCTAAGGACCGTCAAGTTTTATCTCCTCATTTGCGGTCTCCCATATTGTTCTGACATACTGTGTACCTATGTTAATTGTTGCACTGGTTGTAAGAAGAGGCATCGACCTCGTGACTTCTGAAGAATCTTGGCTTTCATCATGAGGCATCATAACTCTTCTAAATTAAGATCCTTCAGCTATCAGGACAGAGTTTAAATGTAAGTGCCATGGTTGAACTTCACAGTGTAAAATAAATTGAACATTAGGTAGAAAGTTGATTATAAATATATTTTCGTGATATCCCAATTAGTAGGACAAATATATTTCTCACGGTTCGTGACATATAAGTCACTGCTTCATAGTCCTAACAAATCGATGGGAAGATTCAAACAAACAATACTAAGTTGAATTTAAACTTCACCCCATCGCACAAGCAAGTGGCTATCAGGACTCAGTGGCGAGTGGATAACGCGATGGCGTTTGAAGCGAGGGTACTGGGTTCGAATCACAGAGTGAACATCAACTCTGAGATGCAGGTACATCCAGCTGACGAGTCCCAAATAGGACGAAACGCGCGTCCTGGATTCCACTGCTAGCCACTATCCATCTCTGCTTACCATGCTTGTGAATTAAGGTATATCGAGGCAATACGCACAGTATGCACATATGCCAATTAGAGACTGACCAGTTGCAGTCCTAAACACATCGATGGGAAGATCCAAACAAACAATACTAAGTGAATTCGAAATTAACACCAGTTTAGATAGTGTAAAGGAAATAATGCAGAATATTTCTAGTACAATCAAAATCATAATATGTCTGAACATTTCAATTTCAAGTTATTTTGGTCAAGGTGATTCTGCATGACATGTCACTGTATTAATTTGTGCGTAGAGAGATGGGTAAGAAAAGTGTGTACATTTGTGATAAGAAAAGTTGGGTTGAAATTGAGTGTGTGTGTATATAGATTGTATGAAAAATAAATAGGGTCAAATGTGGCTGTTTGGATAAACGGATTAAGCTTGATGAATAGTCAGGTCTTCTTGATATTCAAGATATCAAACCAATTCAGAAAGGTTTTTACAATTATCAAGAGATGAGAATAGCCGAAATGTTTCACATAATGCTAAATCCCTCTGCCCTCAAGGTAGTTTCTCTAGCTGACCAGTAATGTTTACTCAAAAAGAGGGTGAGTAATCTGATTTTACCTCTTCTGTGTGTATCTACACATTCAGCTACTTCTGTAGAAAGTGTTATATTGAGGCAAACTATCTAGGCAAACTAAGCAACCAACTAGTGAACTTCGCTCTGTGTGGTTCGCAAAGCGTCAAACAAAGATAACAAATTAGGCCCTGTGATCGCATTTGATTGACAGTGGTAATTTGGTACACAAAACTAAATCATTTTGAGTGATCTACTGCATACCTTCTTTATTTCCCAACAGGGTTCGATCCTATCTCCTATCTTTAAAATAGATTATTAGGACTTAATCATGAGTAACACACATACTCTCGGTTATTACAAGTTTACAACCTTATCATATTTATTGATTTTCTTGACATTCTGTAACTAACGTTTGTAATGTTCATTTAAATGCCATTTCTCAATTCAAAATTAACAATATTTCAAAATTGTTTAAACACACAATTTAGTACTCACTTTTATTTATTTTTTTTCAATTAACAAGACTAGAATTTCTATTTAAAAAGGCATAGAACAATTTCAACAGGTGAACTGTCAAAACTATAGGAATATTAAACAATCGTTTATTGTTAAAAAAGAAAACAAACACAACAACAACATTGTAATAGAAATATACCAGGTATATTCCCTTTTTATTTCACACTGATACTTATGGATAATTATGACTTGTGAATTATCTTTATATTGACACTGATAAATTTCAATATTTACCGATTATTTTTTACCTTTTTGTTTTTCAAAAGAAAAAAAAAGAAGAATAATCTATGAAAATTAAAACGAGTAAATGAAAAAAAGGGGTAACGATTTTTAAAATTTTTTTATTTCAATATTGAATTCATTTAAGTGAAACGGTGTTCATTTTTGTCATGGGAAAAAAATTTTTTTTTTCTTTTTAAAAGCAGAAAAATCGAGCGAAGTATGTAAAAAAAAATTTTGAAAATATTGAAAAGTTTTCCACAATTTATTAATTACGCTTTTTAACAATTTTTTTCTTTTTTTTTACGATTATGAGTGTTTTCTACTTTTATCATACTGTGAATTTTAGATAGTAATTTATTACAAAGCGAATAAATTGCTTTGTCATATGAAAATTTATACACTATTTAACTAGCTTACAAAGTATCGGTTTCTGATCTAGGGTTTGTAATGAAGTCTTTATACAATTGTTATTATTACTATCCGGTTGCTTTAACTCAAGCAGATGAAACACGATTCAAGTTTTGGGATTTAATGATTGCAGTAAATGCCATGTATACATAGTTAATATACACATATATTCATACTTTACATTGATTGCATGTTATCATATTTCTGTTAGGTGCAGTTCTTTTCATTTGGTTTCAATGCATACTTAAGAACCTAAGTGTACTGGTGTTTAAGTAGACGGAAAACAATTCACTTACCATATTAGTAACGTATAATGAAAAAGATTTTGGTTTCTGTTAGATACTCAATATTGTATTTTAGTGTAACATTCAAAAGTAAACCACTCCTCAAACATATTGGTTGTGAAAACAGTAGATTAGTTAACTAGTTTGTTTTTTATTTAAAATAATCGGTTATCCAGGAAAAATAAACTTTGATCAGTGGGGTTCGACTATGACAAGTGTGTGGGAGTTATCTACCAACTATATTCGATGATGGTTGAGTAATATCATGAATTGATTGGAGTTGAAGATGAGTTCTGCTGAGGAGACTCACACTGGGATAAAACAGCTGACCA